TCCCGATCTATCATAAAACGAATCTACAAGTTCATCATTTCATATTTCCATAGTGAAATTGCTTCATTGCAAATCTATGCGATTTCCAAGCAGCTCGATGGTTTTTTTTAAAATGTCTCCATTAGACGATGAAACAGAATCACTGATAGTAACTTGTTGTTTTTCTTTGATGAATTCTTGAAACGCTTCCTGTCGATTAAACCAAAGGAAGATGAGTATATGCTGTAAATCTAAGGAAACGTTGCCTGATCCTTGTATTAAGTTCGGGTATTATGGTTACTAAAAAAAAACAAAAAAACAAAAAGGCCTGCCTTTTTCGTCGATGCATTAAAATCGATAGGGAACTGAAGGACCAAAGAATGTGGTGGAAGCCTCTACAGCAAATTTTGGACCCAAAAACAGAAAAACCGATCCAAAAACACCCCCCCCCGCCCCCTCGACAAAAAAAAAAGAAACTCGGTGCACCTCTTGATTTGATTTTCCCTCACTCTCCCTTTATCATCGTGTACAAAAAACTTTCACTTTTTAAGAACTTCTCTAGATACAACAAAAATAGTCCTAACTATCCGGAATTATCATTTTTACATCTCACGATTGTGTTTTAGAAGTAGCGCAAATTTGAATAATTTTAGCCGCATTCAAGCGCATCAATGTAACGACTGTCTGCAAAATTTTGGAAAATGTTGTTTGCGATGTGGAATGTATAGTTTGAGAAAAAAACATCTGAATTGGTCTGTTTCTGACACAGAACTGAACAATGTTTGAAAAAATAGTTCTGAAAATAAAGTGTTCCTCAAGAGAGCTGTAAATATTATTTTATATGTTATCATTTATGAATATCTTATAATTTTCTAGACAGCTTGCAAACCTCCAAATCGCCCCAAAAATCAGTCAGTTACTGGTGAAAGGATCAAAGAAGATGAGCATAGAAATTTGCGCTGACTACCAGCAAACATGCCATTCATTGGAGAGAACATTGCCTTCGCCCGTGCATGTTTTGAGAGTTGCTTTAACATCTTTTGACAGACTGGGAGGAAATGAATACTTAACCTGCTACTGAAGCAACTTGAGGTAATTAAAAATTAAAGGTTCGCGACGACTCTCACCGAGTCTCTTGTTAATTATTCTACTTCTGATTCTAGCTGTGACTGTTTGTAGAAGCCTGCGATGCAGCAAACCACCCATCATAGTCGGCGTTCAAATAGTACAAAAAAGCGTATTCAAAAGCAGCCCATTTGAAGATCGAACCGGCCTCTGTTTACGTGGCTCAAAGAATCACTACTGTAACAAAAATTCGATCAGCCCTCGCACTTTTTACAAGGATATTTTTCATTCCCGATCAGAAACCCGAAATAACTTCTCCCCAGCTAACTAACACGATTTCCACCTCTATCCACCTCGTAATAAAACTTGCTCCATTCCGAGAACACAGCGATAATTTTTTGGCTGCAAATCTTAAGCTCATACAGGTCACGTAGTGGTTTCAATCACTTACCAGACCTCCGTTTTTAAGCATCCATTTCGAAAGTGATTTGCATGTGTTGGTGTTCGAGAAGAGACTCATATAGCAACCATCCGCTTTAACATCGGGCAACTGTGTAGGTGGCCAACTAAACGAAGCACAGAACTCGCCAATAAACACCAAATAAGACATGAACTTGGACCACGATAGCTGAGAGATCTCTGGACTAGAGTTCTCGATAATCTTCAGAATAATCCTATCTTCTTCAAATTTCTCCAGTTGGTTTATGGCCAGACAAATCACGTCCTCGTTTCTTTCTTTAACTGCCAGGAGAAACTTTACGATGTTCGCTTGATCACAGGAAAGTTTCATAGGCGCGCCACGGCGGAGGTCTTTCACCGATTTTATGTAAACTTCAATTATACTACTAAGAGAGATTTGTAGCTCGACTTCCTTCAATGATTCCAGCAAATCGCGACAGTCAACGGTAATAAGAAATTCTTCAAGTAGCGACAAGTCTGTGAGGGTAACTATGTTGGATTCCAGAAGAGACTCGATCAAAGCAATGAAATCGCCATCATCAACCGGGTTGATGTCTAGCTTCGAACCCGGAATTTGTCCTTTACACCATAATTTAAATTCTGCTCGGTTGCCGAGTGTTAAAGCCTTCGCAAAGCGAAGGAGAAACCTGATGAAAACACGAGGGTAATTGTTCTGCAGCAAACTGTTCGGGGTTGAATTGCTTTGTTCAGAAAAACTCATCGACTCTACTAACACCGTTGACAAAGACAATAAATAAATTATGAAACAGGGGTACAAAACCTTAAGTTCGCAGCACATCCGGGTAATCCAGGTTTTTTTTCACTCCATAATCATTCTCGTTCCCAGAGCCTTGGCTCCTTTTTGTAGTAGCTTGTGAAATCGGGTTGAACGAAGCGATCGATACGTCCAATTGGAAGGCTGGACATATTACAAAAGTAACTAAGTTTGAAATCAAGATATTTTCTGTACTACTGGATTTCTAAGCGAGGAACATCTAGCTTAAGATTTGTATCGTATTCTCTGTTTAGACCTCCGCAGATCTAGCGCGGTTAATTCTTACAGCAAACCGATCGGCGTAACGTTGGAATCAACAGAACTCATTCGATCAGCTCTTGTCAGTTTCGACGAATAAATCGATTTAAGGAACTGAGCTTTTCGTGGAATTAATTACCTTTCTTTTCATTACTTCTAGAGATAAGATAGTCGATTTTAGTATGTATGGTGAACAAGAACACTCAAGATGGAGGAAAGATTGCGTTCCGAAGCCGAGGAGCTCCTTTCTCGAACGACCGTGCCGGTAAGTTGGATAAGTTTCACAAGGATTCGATTTAGATTTTCCAACAACCAGATATTTATAAACCTAACGTAATATTGAAGACAGGATATTGGTGCATATGCTTTCTCTACCTTGGATTAGAGGTTTGGCCAACAAAGCTTCATTTGACTGAAATGTGATTGTTTAGAACGGAACACATTCATCCGCCATTAGACCTAGCCAGAGGATTTACCATCGTTCCTATTACCCTTCGCGAATTAATAAGCGGGGAATGGTGATGATAAATGACGGCAAATCCTGCCAGGTATTGCAAAAATAGTCTCCATATTTGATAATTTCTTCCTTCGGCTACAGCCAGAGATGTCAATCCCAGATTGCATGTCGTAAAATAAATTTAAAAAAAAGCTCCCAGCAATTTGTTTGTGCTTCCTTCCCTGTTGACAGACAGTTTCAGGCCCCCTCCCATTACACCCCTACACGTGAACCCTTCACTGAATTGTGCTGATTCTTGACTGACACAGAAAAAGGTTTCCTTCGTGCTGTTAGGTCTGATGCTGCTGTCAGTTAAGTCTCCCTGACTAATTTTTTTCCCTTGAAACTTTGGATTTCTAAGACTAGAAACAATTCTTCTCGCCACTCACAAACCCTACCTAAACTGCCATTATTTACAGCTTTGATTTTAAAGACCATTTCTTTAAAATATAGCATTGAAATCGAATAACCGTAAAAGTAGGTCGCGGCTGGGTAATTTAAGCGCCAGACTATATTTGTCTTCAAAATGATCAGTTATTATCCTTTACAGTTTCGTCTATCTTTAGCTGTTAATATTCCTTCCTGATGTATTAATGTTTCTTTTGTGTTTTTGTTTCTTGTATTTTTTTATCATCTTACTGAGCTAATATCTAGTGGTCTCTTTTGAGTCGCTAATGGCTATACTCATTGCAAAAAATTGAAAAAATGAAATTGTTCGTAAGGGAAGGGGATTAGAGGAGGGAGAGGAGTTCATCTGCACATAAAAACAAGCCAACATTACACATGTATACAGCAATTTAAAGTTCAGCAAGCTCCAGCGTGGGTCTGCACAGCTTCTTTGACTCGGTTATACCATGGCTTCATTGTGGTGTGTGTCATCAAGTCTTTAAACGTATCAAGACCCTCTAAACCGCTCAGTACTCCATACACAGCCTGTAGAAAAGACATGAACAGCAGCCGATCAGATATTAGGGACTTTAAGCAGTCAGGACGGCAACGCCACGGAAGACGTCCATTAAAAAATTAGTCTTTACTTTTAGTTAGAATTTCGAAAATGGCTGCATGTGTTTACCGTCTCATAGGGCGCCAGACCTCAAACTCAACATAACGCATAAAAGTAGCGTTCAGTTCCAAATGTAAATTAAAATAATTTGCCGCGGCGGTTTCGCTTCGCAGACGACGCAAATTTTGGTGATTTCACGTTGCTGTTTTGCAAGGGACGGCTAAGAAATGTACAAAGTTTGAAAACGCACGTGCTGGGCTATTGTTCTGCCAATTAGATCTATTGTTTTTCCACGTTCTCGTTGCCGTAGCCGTCGTGGTTTGCTTAAAGTCCCTACTTTTACTGCTTTGGCTTTGGCTTTGGCTGAGGAAAAGATGCAATGAATAGAAAAGGACAAAGAGAGCTATTTCTGTTGTGAATCCCAACTACAAACAAAAATAAGAGTTTCTATAGCTCACACTTGGAGCGTTAGTCCTTCGTTATCCGCTTTGACGAAAGGGCTAACCCTCAAAACGCCAGCTTTGGGAACTCCTTACATTGAAGACTAGGAATAACTAGGAATAACAGGTCTAGATCATGTCACTCTACTTCATGCTCAGAATTTGCTTAAAGGTTGGGACGAACTAGGTACACCTGGTAAATTTCAACTGAATAGCTCTTCATCTTGGTGAAATCTGACGAAACAAAATGGCGTCTACGATAACTTGGCCACCCACCATTTCTTATTTGCCATCTACTTTCAAATTAATTGCTTCATTTTTTTCAATTAACAGGGGAGGGGAAATTTTGTAAGTAGGGTTAGTGTATACTAAATAGTTCTCAACCCCATGACCCCTGAAAATGACTGGCATCTACTTTCTCCTTGCAATATCCCCCACAAATCACACATTAAGGTCACCATAACAAAGAATGGATGATCATTGTCAGCACCTCAGAAAATGTATAGAGAACAGTATATGGAGAATATGCATACTGATCTTAGGGGGTAATTGCTTGATGTGGGTTCTGCTCACCACAGGTTTAACTATTATATGACATTGATTTTTCACCAACTGCAGTTTGTTCTCTGCTATCAATTTTCTTAATTTCAGTCAAGATTTTGAAGAGGGTTTATTTCTTTTAAAAGCACTAAATATTTCACCAGGTCTGCAAGATTTGGAGCACTTCCTCCCATGAACTTTCTTTTGCCAACAGCCTTCATCCATTTCTCTGCCTCATCATACATGGCTTGTCGCACATCATCATTGATATTGTGTCTGGAGAAGGAAAACAATCATGCTACTTTTAAGGTTTGGGAAGAAAAACAGCTTTGCCAATGTCTCAAAAATGTTGTGTTGTAAATTATATATTGGGATCCTTACTAACATCAGCCACAAATGTTAAATTTCCATAGGGAAAACAGGAGAGATCACCAAGGTAAAGTGTAGTAGAAATCTTGCATTCATGACTTCAGTGGGCAATGAAGACAACTGTGGTGTTTACTCCTTGATAAAAAATAACTTTGTCTCTTTTTGTTTTTGAGGAAACATAAAAAACGTAAATTGGTATCGAGTGTTCATCTGAATGTCCCAGGCAAACAATTGAAAATATGACATATATAATTAACAAATAGATTTCATGCAGTGTGCCTTTTCAGTAATAGAATACAGATGTTGTCAAATTGTGTTACCAAATTTTGATGTCTTTGGTAGTCTGTTTCTGAACAGAACTACTTCAACTTCAAATCTTAAGAAGTAAAACATTTGTAAAATGGCAATGTCATCTATGCATCTCTCCTTCACGTGATCATGAGAAATACTGGGGGCAACTGATCAAAATGAGTACATAATTCAGCTTATTAAATAATAACTAATTACAGATGACTTACTTTCTTTTCACATGTTTTCCCACAAAGTACATCACAACTGGCCCAGCAAAGTAAGTTGAATATTTTTCAAAAGTGCTGACATTACTTTGCTTTGTAAAATACTCAAATGCCTGCATGGCTTCCGATGCTGTGCGGTAGATATTTGGTGACAGCGTGTGAACAAATGAATTGTCCACCCATTTTCGCCATTTTCTCTGTTCCCTGCCAAACATTTTAACATACATCAATAATGTCTGTTACCATAAAGTTTATTCCTGGCCAGTTTCCTTAACCCTCTACACCTTGGCATTGTATAAATATTCTCCATACTGTTCTCTATAAATTTCCAAGGGTGCTGACAAGGAGAATTTGTTTAACAATCTAGAGCTTCATTAGTTGGTGATCATTTCCATTAATCTACTAACCTTACTGTATGATACAGGGTGTGATATTATCAGGAGAAATTAGATGCTGGTCACCCTTGGGGAGAAAAGTTTAACTGCCTATAGATTTACACAGCTAAATTTGGTTTCCTGTCCCCAAGCACTTTTCATTCTACATCTCACTTTTGGTTTATACATTCATATTAAGTATTTAGTTGTACTTTTTATCGTATAATACATTGCTTTGAAGTTGAAAATCTGTACTTTCATCCTTGCTTCTCCACCATGTTATTGAGGTGAACCATCAGTTCAAACCAGCCCGAGAAGGTACCTTAATTTAAGGTACAATTTTTCTAGACTGATCCATGTGTAGAGAGAGATGCTTAATTGGAAATTGCTCTATAATGATCTAGGTGATGGATAGAGTTTGCCTACAATCTTATATCCAGATTATGATGTTATTTTATAATTTTTCACACTTTGTCAATTATCATTGTACACCTACTTCTCTTGTTCCATGGATTTCTTATCAATAGCCTCTTTGTACATAATAAAATATCTGTTGGCATATTCTGTCTGTTCTTTGCCATCTGCACCTTTTGTAGTGATTTCAGGGTAATAAACTAAGATCTGTTCTATGGAATCTTGGCCCACCATCAGGGAGCGGAGAGCACTGATGATAACTGATGAGTCATTGATCTAAGAAGAATGATATATATCTTAGAAATAACCCATTGGGAAAGGTTTCAAAATGGCAAAACTGAATGCAATTACTTCTCACAGCAAAAAAAAAATAAATAAATAAATAAATAAAAGTTTTAAAGGTATCAGCATATTAAGGATTGAACTTTTCAATTTTACCTAGAGTAAATTCCTGAGAGGGTGGGGGGCAGGATAGGTTCAGTGTTTTTTAACAGCAATTTGAGTAGGAGGCTGGGAACGTAATCTAGACAGCCGTTGAACCAAGCACCGAAGGGGTAAGGACATGGACCCCGAAAATTGCACACTTACAATATGGGGCCGCAAAACTACACCTCACTGAATCACGTCTGTTGTGCAGTTCATCGTTTCTCTAAGACTACCGAGGTGTAACTCCTGATAAATTTGACGAATCAGGGCCTCTTACCTGCGTGTCATCCGCCATAAGTAACGGAACTTTCTTGTATTTGGAGAAACTGAGCTCTGACTTCCATAAAGGGCTCACTTCGACAGTGTTGTACTTGATTCCATAATAGTTCAGAAACGCTCGAACTTTTCCACAGAAAGGGCAGTTCTGATATTGGTACAAAGTGATTGAGATATCAGAGATCCCTTTCTTTGCAGGAAAATTCGAATCTTTGACGGGCCTTGCTTTCACGTTGTTGGAAATCATGCGGTAAGATACAAACCCGGCGAGGGTCGCTCCACAACCCGTTGCCAAAACAGCCATGAATCGCCGACTTGTACCAAAGAACTCCGGTCTATTGTTGGTAGTACTAACAAGGCGGCTTTGGAAACTTCTATGCCCTCTGCTTGAGAACGATTTGCTAAGTGGAGAGCGGAAAGTTAGGCGAATAGCAATTCTCGCCGCCATAATTGAATTTGTTATGCAACAAATTAGTTACCAGGACATTGCGGTTGACTCTTACCTAGACTCCAGTCCTGTCGAATTTGTCCTATGCATATCCGCGCAAGTCGAGCGCGTATCGATCGAAAACCAAAATTTCCAATTATAGTTACAAGGATGGAAAACACCATTACGAGCCAATGGGAGCTCAAACTGAAACAAACACTGCCTGAAGCGTAAGAAAAAGCGAACGACAAAGTGATTCGCTCTATCCGTCAGATTCCGGATTCTCTCTCATAATTTTGGCGAAGAATTTGCCGGTAGGGCGATGTAACCCATGCCCAACATATGGGTCTTTCCCTATCGAAGTCTAACTATCATTCCTCTCGTCTTTATTTCATGCATTTCTTATCATGAGGATCTGAAAATTTGGTGTCAGATCACACAGAATCCTCTGGATGATGATGTTCTTGCTTCTTGTTATCTTTCTGCTTAAAATTTATTGATATTGTAAGGAGAAAAAAATTGCTTACCACTCCTGAACGTGTAAAGGCTAAGGGATAACTGTGTTGTGTACCCTCCCTCCTCTGCAGGTACCGTAGCAAGAGGGTACCAATTTTATTTAGAGAGAGGGTAGTACAAAGTGTGGATATCAATTACAAAACGCTTATCAGCTACAGTTAAAAATATATACAAAAATGAATTCAAAACAAAGACATCTGTACGGTTACGAGCAAAAGAAGAAAAAATGAAAATGTGAAAAAGAGAAAGAGCCATTCTTTCGTTCTAAACAGACTTTATCTTTATTTTCTAAATTACAAAGTACACGCCGAAAGGTGCCCCTTGCAACAAACATTTACTGTGCCCTTGTAAGTGCCATCTACGACAGTAACCTGAATAAATAATCCATGTGACTACTTAGAAACTGAAATTTTATTTCCCTAAGCAGAACTCAACATAATGCATCAGAAGTTCAAATACAACTAGTTTATCTCGTGATCTTTCAAAGATACTCAATAATCAAGGCCAAAAGGTTACCTCACCTTAATTAAGAATTACTTTAAACTGTTTATAATTGCTGCTTGAATACTTACAGGTAAGTTAGGTGCATGTTAAATATAGAAAACTTAATTGAAAAACGATGTAAATTCTATAAGAAAATTCATTACTTGACGAGAGAATTCCGCATTAAATTGCAAGCGAAAACCGATATCGCACGAATCGCGAAGCGTTGAGTGCGATATCGATTTTCAAGTGCAATTTAACGCGAAATTCACAAGTCAAGTAATGGATTTCCCTTGAATTGCATAATTGAATAATAAGAAGAAGAAAAAAAAGAAAAATGCATTACTTATAGTTGTTATGTATACGTAGATGCGTAACAAAATCACTTAGCCTCGTTTTCAACTCGCAATTCTAATTTAAATTTTAATGCGTAATCTATAATATAGGTACAAAAGTAAAGGAAAATTCCACATATCGAAGGTATAATGCTCTTCCTAAACGCAAAAGGTGTGGAATGGACCACAAGATTTAAAACTGGTGTCGTCGGCGACTCACTAAAAGCGGTCGCGAGTGATTTGCACCTACACGCGGTCTATGCGCGCGCGAGCCTGAGTTCTCTCTAAAACTAGATGGCACATAGATAGGGGTCAGATTCCTCTCTCGAGCGTGTTTATTCTCTCAAACGTGTCTCTCGCGTTCTAGCCCCACAGCTGTAAGCCTGACTAAGATAGAACAAATGAAGGTGGAGGTGTGCAGAGTAAGCCATTTTGAAGCTGTTGGAAAAGACATCTATCAATATTCAAAGATGGAAATGATTACTATGCGAAACACACAAAATGTTGTGGGGCAAAAAGAAAAAGGGACAAAATCGAAGCAGAGGATGTAATGCATGAAAAAGTGAGTATTAAAATAATTAAAGGTATCACTTTTAAGTCCGGGTCAGTCACCATCGAGACACAGCGCTTGTTATACTACGTTCCTACATGCAGTTAAAAGCAAGAGGTAAAAAGAATTTTTTCAATGTTTTCTTTTTTTAATCAGAAGAATATTATACTGAAGCTATTTTATATTCAAGCGTGTACTGGTGAACAATTCTGAGTTATTATTTACTGTGACTGACACTGAACCCCTCCTCTGGGTGCGCCATAGCCATCTTCATCGTCATGAAAGCCCTGAAAAAGGCAAGTATACCGTCAGATTTACTGATGGAAAATTAACTTAATGCCCATTCACACCAGCAAAACATGTTTGGTTTAACTTAGACTAGGGGTAGTCCATCCTTTTCGGCGAAGTTTGTAGTGCAAGTAAAAAAAAAAAAAAAAATTAACAATGTTAAAAAAATAAAACTTGACGTTAGCAGGCCGCACGGAACTCTGGGAGTGAGGTGCACGAAAACTACCAATTTTTTGTGCGCCTCTCGTGAAATGGACTTCGCCAAAAACGAGCTAAAACCACAGAACACAGGGCTTCTTATTTAAATCTTATTGAATCGCCGGGAATCCTTTTGTGTTCTGCCTCGTTCTTCAAAGAATGCTAACAAGGTGCACCTCAGTGGTCCTGTACTGTGTAGTTGCTCAAAACTGAATTTTCCATAGGCTTCACTCGCGTGTATTTTCTTATGTGCTAAATTTGATTTTGAGAAATATACAACTTCTATGGGAGAAACAATTTCAAACTGAGTTCAACGAAACAGCTTTAAAACATGTTACGGCTTTGTTGTGAATGGCGTATTTACAGATGGCTTAAAACGAGACAACTGATCTCTACAGCGATTATGAGTCGGTTTGACCGAAACCATTCTCAAAGCAAGTTCACAGTGCGTGCAAACGATGGCTATCTACAACATAAGGAAATAACGAGACAGCAGTTTTTGTCCAACTGCTTTATGGTCACGGTCTATCTTTAAGTATACAAGAACTCCTTGCACAGAAGCAAATTTCTTTATATGGCTGACTATCGTCCAGTTACAAAATCTCGCGCACAAAAACAGTGATGCAATGACAGAGATCCGAACGCAGAGATGCATCGTTCATTTAAGTTCGAAATTAAATTATCAGAAAATAAACATCTCTTTTTCACGCTTACCCCATGGCGCATACGACTCCTTGCTTGTTCCTGAGGATCGATTTTAACGAGGTTGACTTCTTCTGCATCCTCGGGAACGATCATTTCGTGTCGGGGAGGCAGCAGCTGCTCTAGTTTAGGGATATCACCTGTGGTAAGGAATCCATCTGGAGGAAACTTTACCTGAAACGAACACTCAAACATCAGTTTCCATATCCTCCAAGATCCTCTCTATGCATTTGTAATTATACTGACAAGAAGAGTTCGCTTAAAAATCCAGGGCTTATTCAACTGACAATCATTTCCTAGAGTGTTACACTGTCAACATAACGCAACGACTGTTCTTACCGAAAATGTTATGATTAGAAATCCTTTCTCGTATGGGCTCCTGTATTTTGGCATTCCTTCATCTCGAACACATTTCACTTCACCTGAAATTATGACAATAGAGAGATTTAGTACCGCTTTTACGTGAAACGTAAACGGTAAGAGCGACCACACGACATTGTTTTTCCCGCGAAATTTTCACGTTTGCCTGTTGCGCTTTCTTGTTTCAACGTGAAAGTAACCTGTTTTGCGTTTGCCGTGTAGGTAAGATTTTCTTCACTTTTTCTCTCACATGGTAGAAACTAATTGTCGGCAAAAGGGCACCAAAACTATTCCTTGTAATTCACACAAGAGCACCTTCAAATCGACCGTAACGTGAGCTCACGCGAAGCTAAAGCAGCAAGATTCGCGCTCTATTTCACGTGGAACGTGAATGGGCAAGCTGCCGTTTGCCGTTTCACGTAAACGCGGTGCTACATCTCTCTAATATGTTGTCTGTTTGATGGTGCATTTCACGCCGTGAAATGTGCGTGTTGCACTGAACATGTGAAAAAAAAAAAAAAAAAAAAGTGCAAAGGAATCGCTGATAGCACTTACCAGTAACACCTTTCCAATACTTAAATGATGAATATCAGATATTTATATGTGGAAAAAAAGAAAAAAAAGTGGTGCGATCAGGATTCGAGCCAGGGTTATTGGAAGAAAAAGAAATTGGACCCGAGATTACACATTTGGGTTTCGTGGGTTAGATTAGCCATGCTAGATCTCCCCAAATAAACTATGAGAAATAAATTTATTTATAGGTACGACCACACGTTTTTACACACGTATGATTAACAAGCTGTCATGNCAAATGCTCCTGATGGTTCCAAGAACATTTCGAAAGAACTATGGTGACCGTGCCTTCTCCATTGCCGGTCCCAAGCTTTGGAACGATTTACCATATTCCCTGAAAACATCTGAATTTGTTGCAATTTTCAAGAACCTTAAAACATACTTGTTCAAAGACGCTTTTTAATTTACGATTTTTTATAATTTAATCGCTATGTTAATTAGTCTATAATTTTGTAAAGCGCAACGGAGAACTAGTCAAGCTTAGCGCTATATAAATGCTTTATTATCATTATTATTATTATTATTATTATTATTATTATTATTATGGTTATTAATAATTTGTTGGATGATCCAATGTCTCTAAAGAGTTCCATATCCCGGGGAAAAAAAGCACCAACATAACACAACAAAGCAAAAAGACGTTATAACTCTACTGAAATTCCTGAAGCACTCAAATAATATTACATTCAGTAAATCACCTCAAATCTTGCATGTGGCTGTTGTAGTTCAATTTTATCCTTGGTTCAAATTTTATTTTCTTTTGTTTCCAACTCATTACCATACATTAACAAGACCGAGAACAAAGGAAAATAAAATTTGAACCAAGTATAAAATTGAACTACAACATGGCCTTCAGTTTTATTTTAAAAAAAAATCAGCTGATTTGCTTAACTGTTTCAGCTTAGCTGTCAAGACTAAAATAGTTCTTTCACTTCTGTCGGTAACCGTAAATCCTACCTATGGCCTTCCGTTTTAATATCAAAAAACAAAAATTCTGCCGATTTGCTCAACTGATTTCAGTTTCGTTTTAAGATAAAAAAAAAAGATTTTCACACTTCTGTACGGAACGTTAAATCCTGTAGCTTGTGTGCATCACCCAATAGCCCATTTCCGAATTACCCTTGGTCTCATTTTCAAATCGAGGCCTGGTGCTCAAGCATTCTTGTGAAAATGAGTTTAATTTGCATGTGAATGAAAACTTATAATCATATGAAAGGATGAGCACCAGGACTCGTTTTGAAAATGAGGCCAAGGGTAATTCGGAAATAGGAAATTACCTGCTATTCTCTCTCCCGACCCTCCACAATCCCTGCATTGCGTCTGAATTTGCTGAACCATCCCGGGCGCAATATGATTAATCCTGACGTATGTCCCACTGCCATGACAAGTATTACAACTTCCAACTGAACCCTGCAAACATCAAAATGTCATCATTCTAATTGTCCCAAATATCAACTGCTTTACACTAAGGAATGGTGCCTTTGCACGGTTTATCATGCATTTAATATCATTAGTTGGCCTATTTAGTTTATAGAACTTGCTGCCATTCATATCAATTAGAACTTGCAGCAGCCTTGCTACTGAAAAAAACAAACAAACAAACAACTGACACCTTTTTTTAAATTTTTTTTTTCTCACTAGGAAAGCTTTTAGTCCATGAACAGCATACTGAATGTAGACAGTTTTTCATTATGTCTTTTACAAGTGAAAAATTACCCATAAATAAATTCTCCTATCCTATCACAATGAACATAATAATCATCATCATTATTATTATTATTATTATTATTATTATTATTATTATATAATTAAAAACATTTCAGATCAGTCACTCAGTATGCTAAAATGGATAGATGTGTAGAGTTCTGTCCCTGAAACATTACTTCTTAATGTTATGGAAATGGGAAGTTTTTGATGAAAATTTCGACTGGCAAAACTGACCTTCTTTCCTCCTCGTCCCTCACACTTGCTACAGATGACATTTTTCTGCAAAGCAAGCTGTTTTGTAGTACCATTGTACATGTCCTCCAAGGACACCTAAGACAAAAGAATGTTCATTTATTATACACTATAAACAAAACAACTGCTACTAAGACATATAAAATGAAAAGCTCATTAAACAGATCTCTAACCTCAGTCTGATTAGCTTTGCAAGCAGGCCCTCATGTTTAGGTTTTCACCTAACAACACAACCTCCAATTACACCATTCATTAAAACACCAGTTCCACACAATTTCTTGTGTTTGCCAATTGCTAGGATTCACAGTAAATTCCCAGCAGCTTATCACCTTTTGAAAACATTTTCAAGAAAAAATTTCTAGATTAAGTGAGCCACAAGTACCTTGAGCTGGTGTACCATGTCCTTTCCTCTGCGCTCACCATGATGCGGTCTGTTACGCCCATGCCCAGTGCCAAAGAACATGTCGAAAATATCCATTGGAGAATGGAATCCACCCATTTCTGAGCCACCATTTAGAGCTTCTTCTCCTCCTTCGTCATAAATCTTCCTTTTCTTTTCATCAGACAAGACTTCATAGGCATGGGAAATCTGCTTAAACTGTAAAAATAAATGAATAAATAAACAGAATAGTAAAATGTACTTGAACCTCATACAAAACTATTCTTGTTTTTTCAACCTTTTGGGATTTCAACAACATAACAATTCACCTGAGTCAGGCCCTAAATCTTAGTGGGTTTTTATAGTACTCCCCATTGCATTGAGGAGTTAATTTTAAAATCTCATCTAAAACACTACATTTTCAAAGCATTCTCTGTATCTATGCAATTATTTTTTTAATTCTTAACTGCTTTGAATAATACTCATGCCTGCATGTAACCTGTGATAAGATGAAAAATTTTTCAAAACCAAAACACAAAGTTGCATGCAAGAAAGAACTCTCAAGAATAATGTCATACTTAATGACCTGAAATCTTTCAACTTCTGAGACATATTAAGATTAACCCTTTCTGCTCCCAGATCCCATTAGTAATTCTCCCTACTATCGGTTATACAATTCTTATAATTTTATTTCTGAGAATTTATTATTGGATCAACTAATAACCTCCAAATTGAATTTTTTTTTTTTCTCATCCCCTGTCTGCTCGTTACTGTAACAAGAAATTCTGTTTGCAGGGCTTGAAATTAATGTGCTCAATACAGTCACAATTTCAAGCCCTAGTTTTGGTGATTCATGGGAGTTGAAAAGTTAATTCAGTAATAATCTAAAGCCCTTCAGTTTTATTCATTGTATCATGCCATTAAATAAGCCATGCTGTCTTGCTCATCTAGTTACAAGGAGGGTCTCCATCTGTGCAAGATAAATATTCTAAAACAAGCATGAAGGTTAGGCTGCTACATTTTGTGGGCATTTGAAAATAAACCTGATTGAAAAAGAGATTTTAATAAATCAAATATTCAACTGATCAACTTGCAAACTAAATACAGGGCTCCTCACTAACTTTTCAACTTACTAGCCAAGTGGCTAGTGTCGTCTTAGATGTTACGACAATTTCAATTGGTTACTAGCCAAATTGGCTTGTGGAAATAAAAAACCACTAGCCAAAACTGAATTTTTACTAGTCTGTAGCTGGTGGGCTACCGTTAGTGTTGAGCCCTGAAATAATTTAATAAAACAAAAGTGAAAATATGTGTGTACCAAAGTTTACAATTATTTCTAAGACTGAATTCTTTTGAAGCTGATAAATGCCCTCAACCAAGTATAATTTACTTGTAAGTGATCTTCCACATTTGGAATGCTATTTCCTGCACTAGTGACAGATGCTATGGGTCACTTGGGCTGTCATCAGAACATCACCAATTTATTCTTTATATTTAACCATTTCAGTTTTTAAAAATCGAGTTTCCAGATGGGATTTGAACCCACGACCGTCCGTGATCTAGTCGGATGCTCTAACCACTGAGCTACAGGAGACTCTATGGTGAGCAAGGGTCAATTAGTGGGTATTGACTGGAACCACATCACGCGGCTACACAGCCAAACATCAACTAGCGCATAGAAGCTCACTAACAGTACCACGCTGTCACATTAAAGCATCACATGCATTAAAGCATCACATGCAGCCAACCAGCCTTCAAAGTTTTGTATCATAAAAAAAGTGATTTACCATTGTTGAGACAAAAAAAACCTCTTGGGTGTTTATAAAAAATCTCCTCTCACCAACATTGCCTTATATGTAAATACAGGACAGGGGAATATTGTGGGTTTTTGGAAAGAAAAAGATTGTTGCCCCTCAGTCACTGGGAGTTAAAGTTTGGGTAATCCTCGGTGTAAAAACCTGACGAGGTTTTCTTTGTTTCATGAGGTAATGTTTTGCTGTACGCTATTGTTTATGTTTTGTTGTCTTTGTTTTACGTCACTCGTGAGCTTCACAGGTTTTTACACTGAGGATGAGCCTAAAGTTTACATTTTTAATGTCTTCCTTTCAGTGTTAGTAATCTCTATTGTATTGCACCTTTCTTTTTCTTCTGGTGCTTTCCGTTGTCATTGTTCTTGTTTTTTTAGTAGTTGTCTGAAATATTCACTTGCAAAAATTTAGGAAATCTCTTCAGATTAACTTTAGTGGTAAGAGTGAGTTTAACAAACAAAATGTGCTCAAGAATGCCGCGAGTTTTCAGCTTCCCTCCTGTGGTAGATAGTGTCGACAGATGGGTATCTATGCTTATAAAAAACTGAAATTTTTTTTTACTTCTACAGTAAACCTCCAGCTGGTTTCACCGTTTAAAATAATTTCCATGGTAAACATACAAGCCTTTTGGGTATGTTAAAGCTATCTCGGCATTTTTTCTTCAAATTACTTCCTCACAGTTTCTAACAATGTCCATACCTCTACCGTATATATTGATTTAAGGTCTAAATTGAAAGAATGTGGTATTGACCATTCAATTATTCATTCAGCAACGGTAACATTTGATGCGAATTGCTTACGGATAGACAGACACATCTATGATTCGTAGCTACCCGCAATACAATTGGATAATCAAGACGTACCTTTTAAATTAAAGAGGATTAAAAGAGATTTAGCTATAATTGCAACGTATTTTTTCGATAACAAATCGAATAAGCGTGCACACTACACGCTGGTAGCTACGAGTTAAATCTATATTGAGCGTCGAGCCAACTATGGACATGCAAACAAAGTCCTTATGTATTTTGTATCAATCAACTAAATCTTTATTTACAATTACGATCTAGAAACGCTGAAGTTGAATTATTTTCGCGAAATCGTGTTATAGTAAAAATTCCGAATGCGACGCACATTTCTTGATAAAAAGGACAGTACTTTGATTAAAAAATAGAGCCCGAAAGAAAACCTTGAACAATATTACATGAGCCTAAAAGTTACTTACCTTGTCACCGGCATCTGGATTTTTATCCGGATGATACTTCAAGGCGAGTTTACGATAAGATTTCTTAATTTCACTCGGGGTGGCGGACGGATCTACGCCAAGAGTCTCTGTAAAAAGAATAAGGGATCATATTCTACATTCCTGTTACAATTGCCGATCACAAGATCCGTTGTCAAGCGTCCATGCGGAGCACACCCGGCGGAAAATTATCTCGACGATCTCCACGTTCCAGACTAAAATTTTGGAAGAAAGCAACCCTAAGCTAACTAAGTAAGAGTTAATTCACAATTTTACCGTAAAGTGTTGTCTCCTTGACCATAACTAAGGTCGAAATTTGATTTCAATCAAAGAGACACTAGTTCCTCGTGAAAATATCTCACTTTCTCTTCGCATTCCGCTGACGCATGTGTGCTGGGCATTTCGTAATACTAGAATCCAGTACTAATCATTCACATTTATCCCACGGACGTCTTGGCCCCAGTACGTTTCTGTCCGAATCCGAAATCGCGAAAGCACGATAAGCGAATTGGAAGAAGAAGAAGAAGAAAACAGACCAAACAAATAAACAAAATAAAGAAAAAATAGAGAAAGAAAGAAAGAAAGAAAGAAAGATATAGGAATAAAAAGAAACAATCACTCTACAAAACAGATCGATCATCTATCGATTTGGAACTTTACTGACCCATAGATTCACCCATGTCTGTTTTAGCGCTTTCACTAAGATCTGCTGGTCGTCCACGACAAAAAATGTGACCTTCCTGAGAACATATCTCATCGAATCCTTAAAGGAAAAGGGGGGATCTTGATGTAGAGTGACTGGAGTCGAAGCAAAGAATAATTTTGAGGTTAAAACTAGATCCTTCGCAGTCGGACAATTTTTAAGATGGGCCGAGTTATCCCATTACAGGCGTCCTAGATTGCAAGCAAGTCCTAATTTTTAGCGCTTAGGTACGAGTGTTTCTTTGCTCATGAGACTGTATGGGGCCTTGAGGGACGAGGGCTAGCACTGAGAGGTCTGCAAACTCGGTTCTAGCATTAGACTCGTACCCTTTCACGGCAAAGCAGTTATAAGGATCCAAGGATCCTTAATTTACAGCTGCTCTAATTTACAGTTACGCGGTAGCATGTGGGTACGAGATAAGTCTAGGACTACAGCGCTAGAACTCAGGCCAATCTCTCCTCGACTCGTCTCAGACCATCATCCCGTAGGCGAAAAAACGAGCGTTCTGCGAGAACAATAGTAATTATAACAATTATAACGCTTTACTTTGGTTATGTTATAATTAACAAATGGTAAACACCACAGCGTACACTATTGAGTTATGGATGCACGCGGGAGGTTGCTAAGCACGAAAGAAGCGTAAGAGTCGCTCGAGGCGATAACCGAGAGCGACTCTAGCTTCTTGAGTGCTTAGCAAACCTCCCAAGTGCATCCATAACTCAATAGTGTACGCTGTGGTGTTTACCATTTGTTTTATAACATAACATTGATACATTGTAGCTAAAGAGTTCCCTTTTATTTAACAAATCTTACGTGACTAGAAAAAACAAGCGCGCGGAAAAATAGTCTTTGCATTTGCTCACGTGGGCAAATGGGGGACGCTAAATTGACCAATCAGAGCGCGCGCTTTACTTTGGTTATGTTATAATTAACATAATTATAATTGTTAATTAGTATATACTAAATCAGTGGATAGCGTTGAAGGCGCGCTCTGATTGGCTAGTCAAACTCCGAATAACCTTTGCTATTTACCTCCGAGCAACTCGGAAAAAAATGGCGTCCCGGTTTGCATCCGTGACAAGCGAAGAAATCACTCAAATTAACGACGGTGGTGTATATTATCTCACTGTTTTAGTATAGACTAAAACAACTATTCACTTCAGTGTCGGTGGTTTGCGGTGGATATTTACCGAGCCGCGAAGCGGCGAGGTAAATATCCACCACTAACCACCTCCACTTCGATGAATAGTCGTTAACTATCACGAATGTTTTTGGCCGTTTGACCATGCGAATGATAGTTGGTGATAGTTGATGATAGTTTGAAGAGAATCAACTATCATCGACTATCATGCGCCGTTTGACCAAGGCTTAAGAATCGGACAAATCTATGACGCGGACATGACACCATAACCGAAAGAAACTGGGAACCAGAACCTCGTCGGTCACGTCACTTGTAAACATTAAGACAACGTGACTAAAATGAGTACACGGACGTTTCCGTGAAAGTGGTAAGTGACATGTGTGTTCATTAAATGGCGTCATTTAAAGAGACTAGAAACTTAGTTTTGGAATGTTATGTTGATGCAATTATTGACGAAGACGATTTTATGCTCCTGTATGACATTAATCAGTCAAAAAATCCCGAGTTTCCACACGAAAACTACGAACTCTTTAACTTCGATGCCTTGGACGCGGTCGGGTGTGCAGTTGACTTTCGTGTTGAAAAACGATATTCCAAGGTTGGCTGATGCTTTGGGTATCTCTCCTCCGGTCATTAAGTGTCAGCAAAGGAGTATATGTGATGGTACTTAATTTCTGTGCATGCTTCTGCGACGTTTTGCTAATCCCTCCCGCCTCAGTGATATGATTTCACTATTTGGATGTCCTCTTCCTGTTATAAGCACGATCACCAGAGAAGTTATGAATTTTATTTACAACAATCACCAACAGAGACTAACCCAGTGGAATCAATTCTTTTTACTTATTTATGCACATGTCAAAAATAAAAAGGTCCGCGTGATTTGCTTACGATATTATTATTAACCTAATCCTAAAGCACGGGCACGCGAGTCGCGCGCGCACGAGTTTAACAGGCAGATCACGAGCGTCGCGCGTAAATACAAAATATATTTCATGGGGAAGGCAAAAAAGAAACTTAACGTTCGAAATCAAGATAAGATTTATCCTTTCTTGATTTCGAACAACAATACGTTCACGAAAATGATGACATTTTAACCAGTAAACTACTACGCCGCGATTAGAGTACTGTGGGTGCCATATCAGGTTCAGAACGTTAAATTCAATTTATAAGTTTGATATCATAATGATTAAAGTCTATGGAAAACAAACAATCCTGTTTTTCGCCAAAATTTGGGTTTACCCCGCCTTAATGAGCTTTGCATAAAATTTATTGAAGTCTAGACAATTGGAAGCAAGCTGACTTTTCCTGGCTTTTGCCTCGTTGCCCAAGTGAATTGCAGTTGATTTCTCTTTTTATTTCAAATAAACTTGCAGTTTCATTCGAGAAAGATGTGTATTCGTCTTGTTACCAGCGTGAGACAAAGATAAAAATTCTGAGTTCCCACGAGCAATCAAGCCCCAGACCCTCGTTCTGATCGGCCAGTAAAGATCTGATTTCTGTCGAACATTTAATCAAAAGAGTTTTATAGATATCTACATAATCATTAATATGTTGACTGCTTCTTTTTACATTTGAAAGAAAACCTTCAAGCAAATGATTCAAGGTCAAATAACTGCGAAAATATTTCGTGATTCATGACTTGATGAAAAGTTTTTTTGTCCCGTGAGCACTGACGTTCAATCGGTCGTCAAATGCACAAGTATTTCTCGCTTTCCTGTGAAGCCGATTCTTCCGTGCTGAACAGTCAGATTATCCAACACTAACAAATCACCCTCCCTCCAACGAAATCCAACTGCGCATGACCATGATACAGCTCTCAAGTGTTGGATCACTTCCGGTTCGATGGTGCTTCCGTCTCCATAGTAGACGGTACATGGATACTTGTGAGGCGGGAGCTCCACACTCTTAAACATTGGTAATGACTTATAATAGGTGTGGTGGTGGATTGTTACTTGGTTGAACCAGATATATTCTCCCGTTTTCGGATGACGGAGGAAGGCAGGCTAAATGTTGGACCAATGCATGTCACCGTTGTCGTCCCATGTTACCGTGTCATAGAGTTGCTTGGCTTTCTTTTCCGCCTCCTTAAAGAAAAAAGAAAGATAATGAGAAGTACTTTGTATCATAACATAACGAAAGTAAAGCGCGCGCTCTGATTGGTCTATTCAGTGTCCACCATTTGCCCATGGGTGTACGCAGCTGACGTGAGCAAATCTCCCGCGTGCATCCATAACTCATTATAGTTCCCCACCGCTAAATTTTCTCGGATTCTTATCGGTTTAAATTGATCACGTGACGCAATAGTGCTCATCCGTGAAGAGAAACCACCAACCCATAGTGCCCGTCCGCGGAAAATACCCGGATGGATAGTGCTCATGCGTGAAAATTTTTGAATGATTTGACGGCCGCGAAGTTAGGTAGATCGGAAAAACAGTGACTTTTCAATTCTGACAGATATAATTTACTATTTAGCCAATGTACTCGAAGCTTCGCTTCTCGCGCAAATATTTGTTTTAAGAACATCAAATTTCCGCGGGGCAACTATCAGCCGATAGTTCCTCGACAGAAACACTCTATTGTTTACATAATGTACGCTGTGGTGTTAACATTTGTTAATTTGTGATTCCTAATTAAGTGAAGGAAAAGTAAAGGATATTTTACGAAACAATCAGTTCGTGAAACTGAGAATAAATTTAGGGCATTAGTTAGATCGATGCCCAGAGTCTCAAACTTTTGGCCGTGGGAAATTGGGTGAAAGCGAATTTTACATACTTTAACCCCCGCGCTATCATTATCTCGAACTTTTTTTCCTATGCCTAGGAAGTTTGAGTGGCGTTTCCAAAAGAATTTACATCGGAATGTTTTTTTTTTTCTTCTCTCAAGCTATGATAACGCACACGGTCTTAAAATCAGCTGTGTATAACAAGAAAGCAGTCAAGGATAACGAACGGGTACGGTTGTCGGTATCCGATGTTTTCCGTGCCAATACCTCTTTATTATCAGTGTAAAACTGCTGCTGCCAGCTCATGTACTCTGCGCTAGATTTGTCGGGCCAATAACCTGCATACTTCACTCCTTTACTGTCTAACTTCTTCACTCCTTTACTGTCTAACTTCCTCACGACTTCGGGGTCAAGTTTGAGAAGAATTTCGCTGCTCTTGGCCAGTCCTTTACTGTCTAACTTCCTCACGACTTCGGGGTCAAGTTTGAGAAGAATTTCGCTGCTCTTGGCCAGCGGTGTCTCACCGCCACAACCGTCTGCAGGCTCTTGCAAGCAAAAAAAGAACACCTGGAAAGAAAGAGATTACTTGTAGAATCTATTTTGTCAATAGGTACTCAAGACCAAGTCATCCAAAACTGAGAGCGAAGTGACCCCTGTAACTGTGTCGGTATTGGGAAATAGAGAGACAGGCAAACTGACAGAGACAGAGTTTTAAAGTACCTTCGAAGGAAAGGAACTACTATATGCCATTTCATGATGCAATTCGATCGTCATAGCTTGATCTTCAGTGTTAACTTGGTAGATATCAGCGTTTTCTATGGCGCGGGGCCTGGGAACGTTGCCGCCAGCATAACTCAAAGGCTTCCCCTCAATAGATTGGGTTATAGTCAAGAAATCTTCTGCCGTTTTGGCGGGTAGTCCGCGGAATAAGATTGCAGGGCTTAGAGAGTTGTTTTTCTGCACGTACTCCGTACATTTTGCACTCAACTCTCCCAAAGAGAATTGCTTTCCATTACAGATTCGCAAACCGAGGGGGAAAGAGTTACTTGGTTCTCCTAAGAATTCTGGGAAACCTCCATCCGTAGAGCCTGGGAGGAACTTCCTGTCTCGAAGCCCAGATCTGATATTCGGCACCAGCTCCTCTCTCGGTATTCGCTCAAAAATGCTGTCTTTGGTCGAGGACTTTTGGGATGATAAGAAATATACTGAGATTTTTTTGACTGAACGCCAAAGAGGACCTGACTGTTTCGAGGAAAAGACAAGGGTCGGCATGTCCCGCGCCTACTTCTTCAAAATACAATGACTTCTCAGTTGGTTTTGTTGCGTGACCATTTACCGTCACGGACGTGATTATTCAGAACGGCCCTGTTAGAGAAAAATCAACAAGTACGACATAATTGATTGTACATCTAAATTTTCGATACTATTAAACATATAATCGATGGGAATTTGGTGTTATAAGATGTAATATGTTTTAACCTAAACAATGTAGTTACTCGAGCATAATTTGGTCGGTAGAGAGTGTCGAAAGCCTTGCTGAGGTTGAGGAACACGTCACCTCGATGACGCCATTGTAAGACCTATAAAGTTTATTTAGGATGTCATTGTTCATTACACGGTGGCTATAATTCAATAGCATCAAATTATTGTTGCATTGTTGCAAATGTGTTGCTGAAGCTCGGTAGATTTTGCTTTTGAAAGAAAAAAATTACCTTTGTATATTAGCCGAATGAACATTTAACCGGCTCCTCCAGAGACAAAAATCCCATGTCACGGTCCTTCTAAATTTTAGAAGCGAAGGGTTAGGAGCTCTGTGTAAAGTGCTTATCAAGGCGTAAAGGCATGTTTTAGATATGGATAGGTGGATCCTTCAGAAACGAGCGAATCATATCTTACTCTTGCAATGGTAATTTGAGATTTGGTGGCCAATTTTCACGCCGTGAGATTTGAGAATCTCTTATGTGAAACGAGAAGGACCGTCATCGGCAGAGACAAGTGATTTGACAACACGATAAAAAGTAGTAAACCAGTTGTATTTACGAACGTTGAAAGACCCACAGAGCGTTGCGTTGTTCAGTTTCGATGGAAGGTCAGATCGAAGGTTAGCACAAGAATCGTAGTTTAAATTTCATAACGGTAAGGCCTAAAAATGATCCCGTATATGCTCGGAATACGAATTACTCGCTGGGTACGCTGGCCTGTAATCTCATTCAGAACTGCTGCTGCATGAAAGCATAATTATAGGCAGATGCTAAAACACAAAACCAACCTGTAAACAATCCGACGCACCATTTCTTCAGTTTCCTCTGACTTTAAAATGCATATTTTGTGAGATTACGCAAGGCATGTACTAAAATCAGGAACACTGGAACATTGGAACATCTCGGAACACCGGAACACCCCGGAACACCGGAACATCCKGGAACACCAGAACACCCCGGAACATCACGGAACGCCGGAACAGCCGAAACACCCCTGAACACCGAATTTGACGGTGTTGTTTTGTTTTCCCATTACAGATCATGTAAAAAATAAAATGATGTAAATGTAATTGTTTACCCACGTATAAAGAAAGAGCTTAGAGCTCGTTATAAAGTGTACGTGATGACATCGAATTTGAATTTAGAAGTGTTGGTTTTCGTGGAGGGAGGAAAACCGGAGAACCTAGAGAAAAACAAACAACAAACTCTACCTTCAAATGAAAATGGGGCCGGGAAGCGAACCCGGGTCACATTGGTGGGAAGCGAATGCCATTTCACCACTGCAGCTCCCCCTGTGTGATCATAATTTGAATATATCAACAAAGTTGAAATGGTAAATTGGCCACCGTTACGATTATAAAAGCTGAATTTCCGAGCGTTAGCCCTTCGTCGGAGCGAATAGAGGAATTGTGGGTTGTGTGTGCTTTTAAAGGCAGAAAATGGAGGATGC